TAACTGCCAGCTATGTACCTGAACCTGGACCAGGCATCCCCGCCAGGCACAGGTAGGAGATGGCTTCAAACTTCAGGGAACTCGCTTTCTTTCAGGGAAGACTCAAACACCAAGTGTTGTAGTCAATACTGTACAAAATCTTTACAATACAAGAAAAAATGTAAAACACACAAAACTTAGGAAAAGAGAGAGGTGGACTCTGCTGTGGTTTTCAAGGAAGATGAGATTGAGAGAGAAGAGCAAGGAACAGGCAGGAAACATCTGGCAGGTAGAACTTCCAGATGCCTAACAGCACCTGTTGGTCAGCTTTGTCCACCCAGTGCCAAATTCAACACACTAAGCCCTATTTTGCCTTACTGTTCTCTAACCTTTTTCATTATTTTGTCTCCATTCCCAAGACCCTGTGTTTTCATGCATAGGGTTTTTCCTCCCTTCTGGTAAGAAGATAAGCTGTTCATTCATGTTGAGTGTTGTATTATTCTTCCCAGATAATATTTTATATTGTTAAATAGGATGTCTGGAGGGTGGGATAGATGACTATTTAATAACAGTTCCAGGTATAAGAACATGCAAGTCTGCCTGGTGTAGCTTTGGTTAATATAGGTAACAGAAGAAATCACTTCCCTTTTTCTCATCCTCTCCCAATAAATAATTTTTAAGAGCAAAGACTAAGATCAAGCAACCTCCATTTGAATCCAAGTTCTACGTCCTACCTATTGTATAACCTTGAGCAGTTTCCTTAACCTCCGCTTTTTTTGTTTCATCCCTTCTAACAGTGGGTTCAGCGAGATTGCATAAGATAAAATACTTAGCACTGTGCCATTCACCTAATACTTGGCAGCTCAGTAAACCATATTTCTGTTCTGTGAAAGATGGACAGATGGCGATTCAGCCTGCCTGTTCGAGCCCAGTGGCCAGGTGTCGTGTTTGCAGTCTTTATTAATAGGTCACTCATTACTTTTGCAGAAGCTGCTCTCCGAACTTGAGTTCTGATTGATTCCTGAATAACTGGAAATTGTTCAAGAGCAAAAAAAACACAAAACTTCCCTTTGGTAATAGTACTTGCTACTACGTCTGAGGCAGACTATTTCAGAGAGACCGGACTTTTTTTTTTTAATTCTGTTGTAGCTCAGATTCAACACAGACAGCTTTTTCTTTGCAGAAAAAGCTACATTTGCTGGTGCTCAGACTGAAGATTGGGGTCAGTTCATGCACATCTGCGACGTAATTAATGCTACTCAGGATGGGTAAGTTCAGTGTGGTGTCCATGGATTTGTCCCTGATAAGAAACACCAGAACACACCTTGTTTTCTCCTGCACACTCTTTGGTTTTCTTGTTGAAAGATTGTTTTCGGCATCCCGCAGCCATCTGCTACCTTTTGAAGGTGCCAGGTTGATATATCAGGGCGGTTCCCTGCTCCAGCGTATGGAGTATTATTTCCTTTTTGCTTTTTCTTTAATAGTTTCAAATTTTCTCTCTGTGAGGCTCAAGGTCCCTGTTTTCAAAAGATTAAGAAAAAGGGAGATAGATTGTTTCCTTCTTTAGGATTTTTTCCTGCTCTGATTGCCAACATTTTATGTAACTGAGAAACATTGTCCAGAAGCCAGTTGACTCCTACTGGTGACAGGTTCTCTGGGCAGTCATCTTTATTCATCAGGAGACAATGAAGCAGTCTTTTTAGTAGTTGTTTTTCCCCCTTAATGCTAACTCACTCATGTTCATTCCGTATTCTTAAATGATGTGCAATCTTTTGATGTATTTTTTAAATTTCAAAGAATTGAAGTTATTAAAAAAGTCATTAAGAAGGTCCTACTAGTGTGACTTTAGACAACTACAGGTTAATATAAAGGATACACTTCTGTTATTTTTCCTCTACATATTAAAGTGATAACTGACAGTAAAAGATTTAGTCTAGTTTATGTTAATGAAGAAAATATTGCAACTTAATTATTGATTAAATGTCAGTGGAAAGTGCTTATGGTTAGCACTTTTAAGTATTTATACTTTTTTCTCTGTAATCTCATTTATTGTCTTTAGATCCTCTGAACGTTTTCACTGGTAATTCCAATTTCTTCACTGATAATACAAAAAGGAATCTTACGAATTTTGACCCTCTACTTACAGTTCTTTCTTTTGTAGCATTTCAGAGCTCACCTTGTAATTCTTATGTCCCCAGGCCTATAGGTTGCTCAGGAAATACATCTGAATTAAGATGGTCTTCTTCATTGGTTTGGGTTATACGTGCTGTAAATTGGTTGTGTGCATTGATAGAAGGAGGTCGGGTGAGCACATTTTATGGGTAGTGCTTTCTAGCTAATGCTTATGTAAATACTTTATTTGATTTTCGCAAGTGGGTAGGTGATATTGTCTGCTTATGTCCACGAGGGAATTTAGGTGGAAGAAGCCAAGTGATCCAGGTAAGACGTGGCAGCAGAACAAAGGGTGTTTTTTTTGCTCCTTAGCCATTCTTTTTTGTGCAAAGCATATGGCTTGTGTGCCTGGGTTCGTGATTTCAGTTTATTTATTGCCATAGGCCAAAAGATGCAGTGAAAGCTGTGAAGAAAAGGATTTCCAAAAACTACAATCATAAAGAAATTCAACTTACTTTGTCAGTAAGTACCCTACTGTTATAATTAAGACTCCAGAATTTCCCAAGCTATAGTTGCATATTTAAAAAAATAATTCTGAGATAACTACTAGAAAAAGTTATATACAGTATGAATTAAGACTCTTCATTTATCAAGAAGTTTAAAATAGAGCTTAGTTGATTATAATAATAGCTTTTACTTTTGTGGAAAAAAGTGCTCCTGGAGAATCTGTTTTTTCTGGTCAGGAAATGGGATCTGGTGATTTAAAAGTTGCAGATACTGGGCCAATCAAGAAATGTGTGTGTGTGTGTGTTAATTAAGCATAATTGAAGATTAAAATTAAAGTCTGGAAAGATGCCTCCCTGTTAGCTTTCTTCCCCACCTGAGTATCTTTGTGGAAACTTGAGTTGCTGGCAGTTTATGTTTATCCAAGGTCAGCTCCTTGGTACATCTTGGAGAAAGTTCTTTGTTGATTCAAGTGATTCCTCCGCATACCATATCGTCTGTGATTTGGATGTGGACTCTTTATTTGACATGTTCCTGTTTCCTCCCATTTTTGACCATGTGGCCTCTTCAGTCACCTTGGTGAGTTGTCCTTTTTACTTTGGTGTGTGTGATCAGCCCTGTGTGCCACCTGAGAATAAGTTGTGTGGCTTTCTGATTTCTTCTGCATGCCTTTATTTCTCTTCATCTAGTCCTGGACCACCCATAGTTATGACACCAATCGCCAGCATCACCCTGCTTGTAAGAGCTTTGGGAGTGTTTATCAAGAGGGCTGTTGGGCAGATGTGATCTTACCTCCCTGTGTCTAGAGCCACAAAAGAAAATGTATCATGTCTTGGGTCCTTGGAGACCAGCTGAATGAGAAGAAATGAATGAACACTCTTCAGTAATGCCATCACTAAGGAAACCCATAAGTTGGGATCTGAATTAGTTTCAGAGGCATTTTTCTCTTTCACCCTCCTGTGTTTGACTCATGACAGCCACCTCAGGAAGATCACGGAAGGAAGGAAACGATAGAGAAAGGAGTGAGGCACTTGTGTAGAAATACCAGAACACTGGGACAATGACAGAAATGCCTCCCACCTGACTGATACTCTTTGAAACTCAGACTAAGTGGTTAAGTAATTTTTGACAGTAATTGGGTATTAGGTAGCATAGGGAGGATTTGAACCTAGTTCTCAGATTCTAAATCTCATTCCACTTTGCTTCTCAGAATGAATCAAGTCTTTTTAAAAGAACAGGCACCTGTGTTTCATTTGCATCTTGCAATGGTGAAGGCCAGGTGTTGACTGAATTAATGATTACGTGTCTCCTCACACGCCTCATCCCATCTCCTACTGTCCAGGAAGACTCAAGTGCTGATGAAAAGAAATACAGAGTTAGGGTAAAAAGAAATGTAGGTATACCCTAAAATGAAGTGGGCCCAGGGTATCTTGAAGCTGCAGAAGGTTAGTTAGGAGAGGAAGGTGAATTTGTGTCTATTTCAGCATGGGTTATTAGTCTGCCATCTTACGGGTGACCCTTTATAATGGTTTGTCTCTTTCTGTATCTTGTCCAGCCTACTAGATGTTTCTGTGGTTGCATCTCTCCATTTCCACATCTTCCTCCATCATGGTTGCTTCCCTCCAAGCATGGCATTCCCTGTAGAGCTGGCTTAGGCTAGAGTATTGTTCCTCTGGCTCTCCATTTTTCGTTGGGTCCCCCCTTCTCCCTGCCCTTTGGTTGGTCCAACCTCTCAGACATTACCACCAGCTAGCTGCTTACTTCCGGTACCTGTCCACCTCACAGCTGGCATTTCCATACCAGTATCTAAGGGTAAGAAATTCTAAACCCTGTGCTTAACTAAGGATGAGCATCGTGGGTTAGGGCTTGGAGTACAACTTCCTTGTCGGGCAGAGTTCATGGAGATCAGGGATAATAGCTACTTTCTCTCGAATTTCCTTTAAGGAACCTTTTGATTCCAGATATGTTTGTGCAAATTTCCCTACGCTGTGTATATAACAGACCAGGCACCTCACCTCAGGCTACTTGTCACATTGCAATGGTATACAGGAGGCCTCATAACTGACTTCAGGATTCACTTAAGCCAATCCAGTCTGAATTACGAGGGAAATTAGTCACAGAAGAAATCACCCAATGTCTGTCACAGGCAATTATCAGTTTACCAATAAACACTTTGAAAAGCAGTCCCCATATGTGTCATTTCCATCTTACTACTGTGAAGTGATGAGAGCCTGTCATAGTCAATTATGAATGTTCTTTATATTATTTGTCAGATTGGGTTCTCCGTGGACTTATTACCCTTGCTTAGCTCTTTGATGGAATCTGACTGTGTACTATGATTTCCTACCATCAGTCGATGGAATGCTTTTATCAGGAAGCCCTTAGTTTGTTTTTGGGGTAGGGGCCTTGTGCATGTTAGGTGAGTGCTCTGCTTCTGTCACTGAGCCACACCCCAGCCCAAGAAGTTAGTAGTTTTGTTTTTTAAAAAACACTGCTACTAGGCTTTATTGCTCTGTGCCAGAGACTGTCCTTTGCTTGAATGAGTCATTGTGCCACATCTCAGCAAGATACTACTATCATTGTTAAATGCAAAGTGGTGAAACAAGTTTCTGAGAATCAATGAATTATTAGGCTTTTGTAGAGTACCCACTAAGTGGTGAGCTTCAGTGGTCCTTGAGAGGTGTGAAATGCCCTTGAAGGGGCTTGTTGCAGTTATGAGGAGGAGGAGGATTGAGCTCTCTCCTAGGAGTGTCATAGGAGAGTAAAGGTAGCCACACTTCGGCATGGTCGGTGTGGGTGGTCTCCGCATGGTCTTCAGCTCTTATAGCCCTGAAACTTGGTTGTCATGGTATTTGTTGTTCAGCTTTTCATCCTTACCACATTCCTGAGAAAAACAAAGGAGGAAAAGGTCGTGTGAAACTTTTCCAATTTGGTTTTACTGCTACTCACATGGGCTGGGTCTTCAGTATGAGAGACATAATAAAGGAAGTGATGTGGAAGCAATTAGTCCTGACATGAGGATTCCACTGGGCGAACACAAAGGGCATGATTGCTGATCTCCAGATGTTAACCTTCTCAGAGTGTCATGTTGACTGTTTGATTTTGTGTATGGATCTCCTGGGAATGTTACCCATTATCATAAAATATTGGTGCTCCAGAGATTCAATTTGTGGCATATGTAGCAAGAAATTCACCATTTGTTTCATTATAAGAGAAAGTGGGACTCCGAAACTAGGTGTCTTGCTTAAGTCTGCACTAACAGTTGGTTGAAGTATTTCTGTAAACTCACCTTGAACTAGAGGCACCTGTCCTTTCAGCACTTCACCAATTAAAAACTCATTTAATAATACTCTGTCAAGCTCAGTGTCATTTATTAGTCACCCTTTGAGCTTTGTCTAACCATTTTGAATCGATATAGATTCATCTTACTATGTTTTGGATTCTGCATTTATTTTTCTCCACTCTAAAGAATTTTTCTGTGTATCATATAGCTAAATGTCCTCAGCGTCTGTATTTTCTGATCACTTTAATCAGTTTCATATGTGCTGCTGCTTTTTGTATTGCCATTAAAGTGACACCTGAAACACACAGCATGGTGTAAAGTCTAGGCGTCTTTTCTGCAGAGATGATAATACCTGTCCTGGCCAGGATGTGGCTTCTGTGACCTCTCTAAATCAAGGTGGTGGCCTAGAGACTAGAAAGTCACTTCTAGAAATCTACCTTCTGCTGCAGTCTTCCATACCAGCTCATTCTTTCTCCATTTCTGTCCCCCATTCTCCTTGCCTTGTTATGTTCACCTTGTTCTTTGCCTTCCTTGAGTTTCTCTGGCCTGTAATAGGTGAGGCCGGTGTCCCAGCCATTTCGCCTTTGTACTCATCAGAGGTGGCCTTGATGACTCCCTTGTGGCCCTTCACTCCCCTAAGCTGTAGCCTTGCCTCTACAGCTGAACATCTCCTTGAATGTCCCGCTTTCAAATTCAACATATCTAAATTTCCACCCATCCTTTCTCCCCCTGAGATTACTAGTCATACCACTCCATCCACTTCCAAGATCCCGTGGAAGATGCCCTCAGTCTTGTGCCCAGAGTAAAGGTCACTTAATTTCCAATCCCCTTCTTTCTTTGACATTCAGCCATTCCGTGCTTTCCTTACATGCTTTCCTTACATGTTTTGCGTACATGCTTGTCCTGACTTTCCCTTCCTTGAGCCCATGTTGTCCTAGTTTACACCTTTTCTGCATCATACCCATATTGGATCTTCCTCTTATTCTAGCTGTTTTGCTTTCTAGTTCCCTGTGTAGAGTTCTGCCTGACATCCTTTCCAGAACATTTCTTTGCATCCTTGAACCCTTTCCTTGAGCTCCAGGTAGAGGTGTGATGGTGATAAACTGACAAAAACCCCTTAGGGGCCTTCTTCGTACCATCAGGGAAATGTCTGAATTCTTTTTAATACCACATAAATTTTTGTGCTATCTAGAAGATAGACTTTATGCACTCTATTTCCCTAATATCCCCCTAATTTCCTTTTAAGAAGCCATTACCAGAGACAAACTAGAATATTCCTCTTCTCCCTCATAACTCAAACATGCTGCTACCTTTGTATGTTTTTCATGCCATTTGTGTTAGCCATCTTACCATTACTGTATCGAATACCTGGGATTCGTTATAAAGAGAAAAGTTTCTTTTGGCTCTTGGTTTCAGAGGTTTCAGTCCGTGATTGGTTGGCCCCATTGCTTTTAGGCTGGGGATGAGGCAAAGCGTCATGGCAGAAGATGTAAAAGAGCAGAACTGCTCACCTCATGGGCAAAAAGTGAAAAAAAAAGAGGAACAGACCATGGTCCCTCAGTCTTCTTTGAAAGCACACTCATTATAACCCAAAACATCTCACTAGGCTCTGCATTTTAAGGTATCCATCACCCCTGAATAGCACCAAGCTCAGGTACAAACCTTTAATACGTAGATGTTTGGGAGATAGTCCAGATCCACACTATAGAAATATTTATTGGTCTCTAAGATAGCTCTACACTCATTTTACTTTTCTTAGCCATTTTCCAAAGTCCAGCTCGGGACCACACTTTTCCAAAAGCCTTGTAAGACCACCTGTCCCTAAATAATCACACTTGCATATAAAGGTCTGTAGCTAGGCTGACTGCATTTTACCATCCAAACCAGGCTATTTTTGAGAGTGAAAGTGTGTGTTACCATTAATAAGGACAGGGAAACAGAAACCTACTAGACCTACCCCGAATAAACTGGTAAAAATGTTACCCTGACCATAACCCGTATGTTTTGTTTGCGAGTCCCACTTGGCACTTCGTTTGCATTTACTACCTCCTACTGCCCTAGGCCAGTGGTGGTGAACCTATGGCACGCACGCCACAGCCGGCTGTTTGATATCACTGAAAGCTCTAAAAGGTTCGCCATCGCTGCTCTAGGCAGTTACATTAGAATCTAACATTTTACTGTGTATTTTAGTAGAAAGCGAATAATGCTTGTTAATTAGAATACTGATAGAAATTATTATTTAGCAATTTTTTGTCTTATATTTAAGAGGGAGCTATGCCAGAGAAATATAAAGTTTATTTTTTTTCTCCCTAATTCAGCTTATTGATATGTGTATGCAGAACTGTGGTCCAAGCTTCCAGGCTCTGATTGTGAAGAAGGAATTCATTAAAGATGGTCTAGTTAAGCTGCTGAATCCCAGATACGCCTTGCCATTAGACGTTCAGAATAGAATCTTGAATTTCATTAAGGTAAGTCTGTTGTATACTTTGGTAAATTTCTAAGATTGGGAATTTAGTGGCATATCTTTTGATTGTTTTAGTGATGCTTTATACAGTCAGTAAACATTTTTGCTGTTCTGGTTTCTGTGGACTAATACTTTTTTGGCATTGAATGGCACCCTTTTATAGAAGAATTTGGAGTCATTTCCCTATTTTCCATCAGTTTCTGTTTATCCATGTCAAGTAGGCAAGACAGTGATGTGTGTGTTCGTTTTGCAGATATGGGGACTATGTTCTGGAGTAGATAACTGACTAGTTCAAGGTTGCTTGGCAAAAGAACTACTTTTAGAATCTCTTAATATTGGATTCAGTAGAGCAAAAGATGATTGATAGTATCTATCCCAGGGTTTTATCAAAATATTAAATCATGGCAGTTTCAAATATTTTATATTATTCTAGCCTTTGTCCATAACATTCAAAAATTAACTTTCTCTGAATAATGCATAATTGTTAAATTTCTCATTTTCCATTATAAGCTGAAGAATTATTTTGTTTTTGCTGTTGTTTTAACTCTGGAACTTTTCATCTCTTGAACTCAGACTTGGTCACAAGGTTTCCCAGGAGGTGTGGATGTCAGTGAAGTGAAGGAAGTGTACCTTGACCTGCTTAAGAAAGGTGTTCAGTTTCCTCCCCCAGGTGCAGAAGCTGAAGCAGCAAGACAGGAGGTAGGAGGCTTTCTTCTTTGACCAATGAAGAATAAGATGGTATGTTACTGGGATCTTTCCTTATTGCAAGGGACAACCCTAGCTCAAGCAGTTTAAGGGAGAGATGAGTTTATTAGAAGAATATAACCGTATCTCATCAAATAATCAAGGGTTAGGACCTAGCTAGCTACTCAAGCGTGATCTTCTAAACTAAGTCAGAATATTCTTTTAGGTAAGATTTCCAGGTATTTTCAGTGCACATTAGTGTTGAGAAGCACTGGCCTAGGCCCCTTGGTTGGGCTGTCCCCAAGGCTGCAGATGAGGCAGTGATGAAGGGAGAGGGTGTTCATTGTTAGAGTGGCAGACCTATGGTATGTGTGTTGTTTTTCTTTTAAGACAAAGGATATTAATATATGAATTGTTTTTTCTAGACTAAAACCTCAGTATTCAGGTTTAATTGCAGTATTGGCACTTTGTGATAAATAAGTGGGTTTTGGGTTGCAGTTTGGGCACAGGGTCTCTAAAAGACTTGCCATCACTGATAGAGGAGTTGCATTGCCAGCTGTGGCTTTAAAAGATGACATGAATTGATTTTCCATTTTTTTTTAACAGCCCGAAGAGGGCAATAATAATCTCACATGGCAATTTATTATGCAGACCCTTGGTAAAAATCTAGAGCACTTTATTAAATCAAAATTCAATTAATATACCAAAATGTGGCCCCGTTTTATTTACTGCGTGCTCCGTTATGGGCATATCTGTCATGTCATTTGCTTAGCACCCTTCTCAAAATGCTGGGTAGGCTTTACGTTTGATGATTGACTCTGTACCAACAACTCATACTCAAGACTGCAGTTGGGAGTGCCTGGGTCAGCTGAATGGAAAAACTGGGCTCAAGGGGGCTATGTTCATTTACATCATAGTATTTCCACATTTCAATCTGGTAGACTCCTCAGACTCCATCAGGTTCACCAGCATCTGTCCCAACTGCACCAGCTCTTTCTCCTGTAACTGCTCCCAGGAACACAACTATTACATTGGTCCCAGAACAGGTAACAACAATGACAGCTGTATTTATTAATGTTTTGTTCTAGGCATTATGTATAGAATTTGTTTTTCCTTTTTAATAACATCATGGGGTGTAGGTACAATATTACCCTCATTTTAAAGTGGAGAAAACCACAACTTAGGTTGTATGACTTACCATGGTTCATTTCTAAGCAGAAGTAACCCAGTAAGTTCACTCTGATTCCAAAGCTAACACTTTGAAGAACTGTAGTTGGCTAGTGGAATTCAGGGTTTTATGGTACCTTGGCTGTGGACTGGCTCTTGTGTGCAACAGCTGAGTCCTGTCAGTACTGGTAAGACTGTCCATATATCATTTCAGAGAGCTCAGTAAACGATAGTCTTACTAGTATTAATTGTGCCAACTGAATTGCATTTGCTTCTTTGTCTCTCTCTATCTGCTTATCACAGGTCCACATTAGCAATTATATGAAGCTTACTTATGTCACGCAGTAAAGGAACTATCATTGAAGCCTTTATATTTATATTATTCAATGTTTTTTGCATAAACATCCATGTGATTCATTCCTCTTAGGATTTAATCCAAGAAGAAAATAAATGTTTCTCTTTTTATCCTTCTTGTAATATCATGAGAACGCTACCATATCAGTCACTTTTCAGTCACTAGGACAAAATACCCAACTCCCTCAACTTAAAATAGGAGAGATTTATTTTGGCTTACGGTGTCAGAGGGTTTAGGCTGTGGTTGGCTGACTCCAAGGCAGGAATGGCATGGGAGAAGGGCATGGCAGAGAAAAACATTTCAAGAGGCAGCTGGGAGGCAGAGAGAGAAGGGAGAAGCCAAGAACAATATAGCCTTCTAGGTCAGACCCTCAGTGACTCGCCCCTTCTGACCAGACCCCACCTTCTAATAGCACATTTGGCTATGAATTCATCAGTGGCTTAATCCACAGATGAATAGAGCAACACCCCCCCACCACCATAATCACCCTCCAAAAGCCCCATCTTTGAACACATGAGACTTTGGGGGAACATTTTAGATCTAAAAACATCATCGAGCAATCTTTTTTATTTTTTCCCCCTTTTCCAGTTTATTACAAGACCACTTCCCCTTCTGTCTTCCCCTCCTACTTCTCCTGCTGGTACCTAGTTCTTCCTTTCCTCTTCATATTGAGTCTAGTCTTTTCATTTCCTTAATGTCTCAGATGATATTACTTTGGGGTTTATTACAAGAGATCACAAGTACATTTAGAAGGTAACAGTATAATTTGTAAAATAATTTGTATAGTTTGTAAAAACAGTATAATTTGTAAAACTTAAATCTGTTTGAAAATACCAAATTTTGCAAAAAGCATTTTCTCTTCCAGCATATGTCCCATGATCAGAAAATAAGTGTTAGCCCTTTTTATTTTTCACTTTTTTTGGTACCGGGGATCGAACTCGGGTCCTTGCGCTTGCGCAGCAGGTGGCGACACCACTGAGCTAAATCCCTGGCTCCAGTTAGCCCTTTTTATGTGTCACACTTAGGGACTACTGATTGTGCTGCTCTCTACAGATTGGAAAATTGCACAGTGAATTGGATATGGTGAAAATGAATGTGAGAGTGATGTCTGCCATACTGATGGAGAACTCTCCCGGGTCTGAAAACTCTGACGACCTAGAGCTTCTGCAGGTACCGTATGATCTGGACAAGCCAAGCACCTTGCAAGTTATTCTCTGAACTTTGAGCTTTGGAGAAGGAAGACCCCTTAATATTGTTTAGTCCATCCTCTTGCATCCTGACCTCATTTGATTTCTAATCTTAACAAAAACATCCAAGAATGATTTTTTCAAAATCGCAGTAGTAACGGATATGGTCCTTACCTACTTGCAAAAACTAACTTACCATAATTTATAGTCTTAGTCATCTACAATCTAGTCTCTCATTGTTTTGAGCATATAAAAATTGCCTCTGTGTCCATCTATTCTACAAGTTTGAGTGACTCTAGTGTAATAGGGATGTAGAAATGAGGCTGTCCTGGTACTTAAGAAGTTCTGTTTAATGAGTAAGATTGTTTTGTAAACAACATGGTAAAGTATCACGGACGCTATGATATAAAATTTGTCCAGTGTTGGTGGGATCATGAGTAGAGACAAAAAGAAAAGTGAGAGTTTTAGGATGGGTTTAGATGTAAAGATTCACAGGCCTTGGGAGTTGCATGAACCTGCGAGGTAAGCCATGAGCAGTTGGATGGCCCTGGCAAACCTCTCCCTGTGTCTGTACATTCATATACTCAGCTGGATTGTTTAATTATCAATTTTAAATTCCAACACTTACTAATTTTAGCTAGGCATCGTGACACACCTGTAGTCTCAGCACTTAGAAGCTCAAACAGCATGATTGCTTGAGCCCAGGAGTTTCAGATCAGCCTGGGCTACATAGTGAGACCCTGTGTCAAAACAAAAGAATAAAATACTTAATTCCATTTAATGCTTACTAATTTTAGAAGCAGTTAGAAAAAAACTCAGCTTCTAAGGATTTCTTCCCCAACAGGTTAAGATCATTGCTTTATTTTTACTTTTCTCAGATTCCCATTCCCCTGTTCTCATGTGTTTTTTTTTCTTTGAGTCATTATATTGTTAGTAAATAACATTTTTCTTACACATTTTGGAAACAAAAAAATTGAAAAAATTTCTTCAACAGTACTTGTTATATATCACTGCTATGTCCTTGAACCACTTTTATCCTTGCTAAAGTATATCTATCTACTACCAGTAAACTTTGGATGTTTGCAGGTCCCGAAACATCTTTTGTTGCCATGTTAAATGGTAGTTAAACTACCTAGAATTTTAGGTACAAAATTCTTTAAGTCCTTTGAAGACAGTGCTCCACTGTTCTCTTGTACCCTGTGATCTTGATGAGAAGTATGATGGTATCTTGACTCTTTGGTTCTATTCTGATTCTCCTTCATTTCATAATCTGCTTTTTTTTTTCTGGTTGAATTTTGTGATTTCTCTTTACGTTAATATTTTTGAAAGTTCACTGGACCATGTGAGTGAGGGGTGATTTGTCCGTGCATGTGTACATGGGTGCTTAACCTGTTTGGTAGTTTGTAAGCCTTTTTGCCCATCAGCCTGCATATATTTTTAATTCTAGGAAATATTCAGATCTTACTTCAAATATTGCCCTTTTCCTCATTCTGTTTTCTTCTTACAGATTTTTGTTTTAGATAATGAAACTTCCAGTTGGATTCTCCTCTCTCTTAACTTTTCTTTTGTACTTTTCATATCTTTATTTGCTTGTGTTGCAGTTCTGGGAAAATCTCTCTATTTGATAAATTGTTTCTTTAAAATTTATGCATCAGATTGGCTAGCGACCCCTTCTAAAAAATGTTTTATTTCAACAGTTCTATGTTTTGTTTAAAAATATATTTGGATTTGTTGGCCAGGGATTTAGCTCAGTGGTTCTGACCCCTGCCTCGCAAACGCAAGGACCCAAGTTCGATCTCTGGTACCAAAAAAAAAAAAATTTGGATTTGTATAACATTTTTAGAGGTTGTACTTTTTCCCTTCATGTTTCTAAGGTGGTAATTGTTTTCTTTTTTTTTTTAATAAATTGTTCTTCACAAATTCTTTTGAACGTTACCTCTTTTATTTGATTCCTCAAATGTCTGGCTGGATTGCTGATGGTGAGCTCATTTTTGTGTGACATTCTTTGTCAGCTGGTCTGCATTATCTGCTGACCCAGATCACCCATGCTGAAGAGAGCCTGTAAGTGCTGCAGCCTGGGGTAGGTACTGTTCTCAGAGTAAGGAGTATCAGCATGGGATGGTGCTAGGTGTGATACATTAATAGCTGGTCTGTTGGATTACAGGGTTCCTATTTTTTTGTCCTGGATGCTGCCAGTAGTAGGAAATAATTACCTCTTTATTCTATTATGCTTTTTTCTTATTTAGGAGGTAGCAAAATGTGACTCATGGGCCAGATCTGGGCTTTCTTCTGATTTCTTTGTTCTTTCAGAACAAAACAAAACCCCCCAAATTATTCCCCAAACTATATCTATCCAAATCAATATCCAGAGACCACTGGGATCTCAGATATACTTTTTAAGGGACTCCTTGCCACCTCCTACCTCACTATTAGTGGATGTGTTTGTGGCATCTCTTAGATATGTAGGGATAAGAAGATTTAAAGCCACCACTTGGTAGTATAAAGTTTCAGATGAGGTAAGATCAGATCTGTGTAGGTTATGGGAGACTTTCATGCAGTCCCAAACAGGGGTCTTGGTCAGGCTAGCTAACGGAGCCAATGAAAGCATAGAAGCTAAGCAGCTACTTTATAACCAGATCAGATTTTAGAAGGATCCTTCTGGTGTTGTTTTTGATGATAAATTCTGGGGAAGCAAGGAAGCATCTTGATTGTGAGCAGAAAATGGTATCTGTGGTCCAATAAATTTGCAAAACCAATTGCCTATTTTATCACTCAGAGTTTGTAAATTTCTTTGCTTTAGTAAGGCTCTAAGTGCTTTGTTTAACTCAACATTTACAAACTTATTTGACCAAAGAATACCTACTTGCTAAATATCTGTTAGTATTCTATAGAATATGATAGTAGACTACCTTGAGAAACAAATCAATATTTTCAATCACTGGATATATATATATATATAATCAATCACTGGATATATATATAATATATATAATATATATATGTTACTTTTAAAATTAGGGGCATTATGGTGGGCTGGGGATTTAGCTCAGTGGCACTGCACCTGCCTCACAAGTGCAAGGCCCTGAGTTTGATCCCTGGTACTGGGAGAAAAAGAATTAGGAGCATTATATCATTTTGCTGCACATTCTCAGACTTCTTGGCCTTGGGAAAGTCACTTCCTATCACTGGATTTGGTTTCTATCTATATAAAATGAAGAGATTAGATGATACTAAAAAACAAAGGTTTAAACACATAAAAAATTAATCATTAAAGTTCATATGCAATGATCTTTTTTAAAAAAAACCCTCACAGTTAGAATCTTTTATAGGTATAAACTTTGTGACCTGTGATGTGAACAAACATGTTAAACTAAAATTTAAAAATTAAATGTCAGAGTTAAAAGGTGTATAGTAGATAGTGTTTTTCTTTTTTTCTGGTATTGGGGATCGAACATGGGACCTTGCGCTTGTGAAGCAGGTGCCGGAACCACTGAGCTAAATCCCCAGCCCAGCAGATAGTATTTTTCAAAAATGCCCACAGCAGTATTTCTAGTTTGACATGGTCTTCACAGGCCATTCAGAACTCTAAAATAAAATGATTTATGACTTTTCTCTCATGTTCTCATCCAAACAGTCCTTCACTAAAACTACACACCGAAACACTCTATTTAAATATGTGAATCCAGTTTTAAATTTTATCCCATCAAGGCTGAAATGCCTTTTTGTCTCAGTGTCTTTGGGTGCAGATGTTTAGTTTAATTTTGTGAGTATGATGCTAATTTGTTGGTTGCTGTTTTAATGCCAGAGCTCAGGGCTGGGTATTGCTTTGACTAGTAAAGAGACTTAGATTGTAAATCAACACCAGAATACTGTGTTGTGCCCAGATTTCAAGGTCCCCAAAGACCACCAAGGAGCCGATTCCGATGTAAACACACGAGAGTCGTTTATTCAAGCTCGAGCAGGGACTCACAACCGTCACCGCCGCAGCAGGTCAAGATTGAGAGCCCCGACTCCAAATTAGCAGGGGTTTTTATAGTAGTTACAGCAAGGTTCTAGATTGGCAATTAAACCTGATTGGTTGTGCCTTGCGTACCCAAGCTGCAAACGGTTACACCTGGAACATTGGGGTAGCTGTTGCGAGGGGATGGCTGAACACTTATCACAAGCAGGTGGGCAAAGTACATCTTGTGGTTTTAGGTCTCACAACTGCTCATGGCCAAGTCATGCTGAATGGGTTCTGGCACAGGATCAACTTGTTTACAGAGACTATTGAATGTGTAACTATTTTTCTTGCTATGCTTTTTGTTAGTAACACATACAAATCTGGTGTGAGGAGTGCTAGTCTTAATTGCATTTTTTTAATGATACATTTTTAAAATTAAATGGCAGGACTGATCTAAAGTAGTGTGATACCATCTTCTATGGAGAGAAAGGATAGGGAGCCTGTCTGATGATTTTAAAATCTAAAAATGAAACCAGAAGAGACAGACTATGGAGAAACAAAGGTATTCCTTGGTTTGTAATTTTTCAAAGGTTTTATCACACTTGACTGAACTACTGGGGTCAGTAGAAGTAGAACCTCCCACATGATGTGCCAGCTCCCTGGCTGGCTGCCCTCATGGATCCACAGTTGCTTCAGGGCCTTCAACATAAGCCTAAGTGGTCATCAGGTGGTGGCCAGCAAGGTAGAAGACGAAGCCTTGAGAGCAGTAGTGGTATTGGTAGAAGAAGTGTATGACCCTGTTTTCTCCTATTTTGTGTTAGCTGACCAGTTAGAAATCAGAGGGCATGGCAAAGCAGGACTTAAAAAAAAACAAGAACTTCCCAGCCTTGGACAGTCTCCTCCATCACCCTCCTCTCCCCTGTAGCTGTAACTCCTTGTTCTGGTACAGATAAAATTAACAACTATGTCCTGTAAGCAAAGTTTATGACACTCTGTTCTCATATGATTTGTAAGACATTGGCTTCTTTCAAGACAAAGTTACAAAACTGCCTGCCCTTGTCCTGTTCTAATAAACTCACTTGCTATGTCACTAGAAAAATCACCCACTTTGATAAAATGTATAAAAGCTGGAACTTCTCTTTGTTCAGTGCTCAGCCATTTTGAACAGAGTCCACTGAGCCCATGTTTACACCTTAAATAAATCCTTCTGACTCCCATTTGGTCTCTCTTGCCTCTTGGAATTCTGTAACAAGGGGACCTAGTGGTGTGGTTCCTCCAAGCCAGCTCCAGGGCTGAGAAGGGCAGAACATGTGGAAAAAGAAGTTGACTGGCACATAGGAAAAAACTTCTACTTGAATATTATTGGGCTCCTCCTGCACATATTCGTAACCAGCAACTGCAGTCTTATCATACTATTAGCATTAAAATCAGCATGTGTATTTGGACCCTCTTCCTGTCTTACCTGTTTGTGCTTATCTTTTACTAGTTCTGTATATTTGGAGCCCATGTCCTGTCTGTTTTCTTCCACCTGAAATCTATTTTCTTAGAATCTTTTCTCTGTTCCTCCAGTCCATGTTGACCATTAAATCCTAAAGCACTACTGATTCACAGGGCTCCTGCACTTTGTTAGACAATTAGGCAGCAAAACTATTTTGGGTAGCAGAAACTTTTCCTTAAGGCTGTGCTGCCTATGGACTTTGAACTTGACTGGGTGGAGACTGGATTTCTTTAGCCAAAGTGGAGGGTGAGGATTGTGAGGCTGCAGCTGGTCTAATGAGGGTGAGAGAGAGTTCAGGGTGTCTACTCTGGCCACAGGAATGAAGACTTGCAATGAATGTTTATTTGCAATCTTGGCATTGTGCACTAGCTCTTGAGCATCTTCCTCTTAACCTTGAATAACTGACTTTCTCCAGAACCTCCTACTTCAGTCTTTCTTACGTTTTGCCTAGCCCTTGTAAGACAATGGAAGAAAAGGCTATTTTAGCCTTTTGTAGAGTAAAAGGGGGGCTCAAATTCAAATGTATAATTTAAAAAAGGTTTACTCTAGTTTATTAGAGAAATAGCAAAAAGAGAACAACTGACAGTTAAAAAGATGAAATGAAGGTCAGGTCATCATTTCCGACTACCGTCTTTACCATTCAGGAACTTGTAAGGTCTTGTTACCATGGTTCTAGGATATGGTGGAGTCCTTCCCGAGATTCTTTCCTGGTTCTTGTTGTACTGAACAAAGAATTGGTCAAGACATGTGACATATGTTGTAAGGTTTTACATTTATTAAAGGTAGAAAAAGAAATACTGTATCTTCTTCAGAGTGAGTGTGGGCCAGTTAACTAGGAAAAGAAGTACACTCTGCAGGGTGAGTGGGCCACTGAAGAAAAAGACCACAGTGGCAATGGGGTTAATGCCAGAGGTCTTCTGTATCCCCTTACTCCTTGGGATGACATCAGATCTAGGTCCTATTAAAACCCTGCTTGATCTCATGCCACAAGAATTGAAGATAGTATTTTCTGATTGGTCCCAAGTCAGCCCTTGGGAACTGTTTTTCTGGGCATGTGTCCTGGATCTCTGTGATTGACAGGTAACGCCCACTTGCCCATCTGGCTGGCCATGCCCTAATCTCCTGCCTCAGTACCGAGAATAGAAGGGTCTTTGAATGTCATGGAGTCCTTCCTCTCTCCTTTACAGATGAGGCTGTGTATTCAGAAAAGGGTGATTTGCTCACATGGTAGCAAGTAATGGAGCTGGAATGGGAACTTTGCTGTTCTAAGCTTGTGTTCTGCCCAAGGTGCCAACTTGTTTCTCATTGCAAACCCAGGCCTGACCTTCTAGTGTCCATGGCTACCCTTTGGTTTACCCTCTGGGTGTGAATTAGTTCTTAAGCTAGTTTGGAAGCAACATGAAGGCGGTAACCAAAGCCTGTCTTTTTAAATCCTCATAGTACTTTGTACAGTTATGCATATTTCCAGTCTATGCTTTGTACACTGAATGAGCTTATTAAAGGTCTGTTGAGTCAAACAGATTGATTCTTTTTATTGAAGAATTAATGACAGGGCAAAAGAAGTACTTAAGACAAGAAGATTTACTGAAGAGAAAGGCATGCAGGGAATCAAATGTTGACAGTATTAAATAGGAAGAAAAAAGGAGTCACAGAATGTTTCTAATAAGTTAATGCTCTGGAGACTTGCGCTGATAATTCATTCTTCAGCAGAGGTGTGTATAAGGAGAAAAACAGTGTGAGCAAAAGCTGATAAATGTTTGGTTTTAGGCTGGGAAGGAGATAGTTTTATTTTGAGGGGATAGAGCCATTCTATGGGTTTCCTGCAGTCTGGGTGGGGAGAACTGGAAGAGAGGAAATATGTGAAAGTCAGGTAATAGGAATATTGTCATACAGATACTATTTCCAGAGGCGGTGGGTCCTGTTTGTACTTTTCCAAGGGACATGCTCAGCCATTTTTGTTGTGAGTGCATTGCCTGGTGTTGGTGAATGTGGGATGAATGTAGTTCCTGGTGAAAATGCAGGGAGATTGCTCTCACTTAATTCCCAAGTGGTTTGTGGAGGATAAGATCCATCTGGATGTCCAGAAGAGGAAGCTTTTAATGAGCTCCTCTTTGTTTTGCTCCAAAGCCTTCTGAATTGATTGTTAAATGTACTCTAGCACAGAAGCCTGCCTTTGCCTAAAGGGAGGTGATTCCAGGGCTCTATGATGGACACATGCACTAGCAGCTGTCACTGTGTTTTGACTTGTTCCTCCCGGCCTCCCATAGTTCCCCACATCCACAGCCTCACAAGTACCTGCTGTGGGGAACTCTGACCCATCCTTTTTGTCCCGGGTGCTTGATCTGCACTGTTTCCAGGTGGCGTGGTCCTCCTCTGAGACAGACATCAATTGCAAAGATAAGAGTGGGCTGGCTTTTGAAGAGGGTTTTCACATTCTGCTTTGCAAGCCTGCCGAGAGATGGGCTGCCTCTTTCATGTTTCCATTCCATCTGTCTCTTGAAAGGGCAAAGGGAGGGTCTTATGTGACCAGGGGCTATTGATGTTGGTTGCAAATTCATTTTAAATTAATTTCTGTATTTTAGTCACAGATATCTAACACCCATTGTATCTCCTTGATCTTGACCTTGTTCCAGTAAGGCTGCCAGTGAACAACAAGAGGAATAATTTCTGTACACTCTAAAGCGAGAGCAAAGAAAATGTTCTCATTCATCAGGGGAGTTATATAAAGTGCTGGCTTTTCCTTTGCATGATATTGGGTCCTGAGTAATAGTGCAAGTATTCCTTGATTGTATTAATTATCTAGATGAGTTTGTGGTGACCTCTTCTTAAATAACTACAATGTTTTTATCTATTACCCATTGGGTGCTAAGCATTGTAGGGGCTTCAGATACACCATTTCCTAGTTTACAACAACCCTGGGAGATAGTTGTTATTACTGTTGTACCATAGATTGGGGGTGGGACTTGAGCCTAAGGTTAAGTTTTAGCCTTTCTTCTTTAAATCCCTTATCAGGTATGTATGTATATTAGAGGCACCTTTTCTACTGAGTCCAAGGTCTCTTCTCTTTGCCTCGCTTTCTACCTGTCTTTGTTTTATTAACACTTGGACACACCTATCTGTTTACATATTGTATAAGATTATTTTTACACTACAGAGGGCAGAGTTGAGTAGCTGCAACAGAGATGAGATGGCACACAAAATAGAAAATACTTAATATCTGGAGCTTTAAGGCAAACTTTGACCCTTGCACCCCTGCTCTATACCATTGCTGATAGAGCCATGTACTTAGTACCGTTTTTCCTGGATGTTAGTTGCAAGTGTAAAAACCTAGTCTGTCATCTGTTTGCCTACTTCACTTTCTTTTTCCTTTTTCTTTTATTGTTGTCTTCTAAATATTTTCATGATTTTACGGAGGGTAGTGGGTTTTACCTCTAAGTCGAAATGCCAGTTAGTAACAGTTTGATTTATTTATTTAGAAATTTCCTGCCAGGAGTCTCATAATAGAGTGTTTAGATTCTAAATGGTTTTGTGCAGCATGAATTTTTCAGTGAGCCTTTCTTTCTTAAGGGAAAAAAGTCAGATTTGTAATTGTGTGAGGTTCCAGCAAGCCCTACTGCTTTCACTGTGAGAAGACAAATGTCCCTGTGCTTTTGCCTTATGTTAGTGTGCTATTACATGGACAAACTGTAGGCAAGATGGGGTAGAGGAAGTACTAATATTCATTGGATCCACCTCCCGTTTATTGGAAGTTTGCTTGCAAGGAAGTCAGTTGTATGGAGACAGTTTTCAAATGTCAGTGTACGTAAGAGCACTTTGAGGTGCTTGTTTAACGAATATGGGTGCCCAAACCCTTAGCCCTGGAGATTCTGAATCAGTAAGTGAGCTGTATGTTGGTGCCTCTGATGCTTATGAGTAAAAGCTGGTTGGGGGTGGCATCCTGGCTTGATGCAGTGATTGAGTAGACCAAAAGAAGTTATTATCTATGATTAGGTTTTAAATCCTTGTTCAGTTTACATAATGTGATGTAACTATAAACTTTAAGTGTTTAAGTACAACATAACTGGAAATAAAATTATGCCACTGTCAGTGTTTTTGAGCTACTACTTCTACCATCACTAATTATGACAATAACATTTTATGTTTATGCTGTGTAATTGTAGAGTTCCTTATTACATAGATCCCATTTGACTTTTATGACAACCCTTGAGGTAGATACAGCAAGTGGTTATTTTTCATTTATCAATGAGAAAACATTTAGAAAACAAATTACTTTCTTCCCAGTGTGGCACAGCTAGTAAGCAGTGGATCTGGAATTCCCACACAGTATTTCCATTTTCTAATCCAGTGTTATTTCCAGTGTACCATATAGTCCTTATGATATGTCTTGTGGCTTATAGAGAAAAACAGAAGCACGTGAAACTCACTGGCTTCCAACAGGGAAGATGAGCTGCCACAGTTGAATTCCTTGGTGGTCTCCTGCAGGTGAATCAGTGTGGAGGTGATTTCAAATGTACCCAGACTGGAGAGTCAGTTGTTTTATAGAGCATTCTTAACATGGAAGAAGAAACTTCTTTCCTTTCTTGACAGAAACTTTATAAGACGAGTCGGGAGATGCAGGAGAGGATCATGGACCTGCTTGTGGTGGTGGAGAATGAAGATGTAACCATTGAGCTAATTCAAGTGAATGAAGATTTGAACAATGCGATTCTTGGCTATGAGAGGTGAGTAGTTGGTGTGCCACCATTCATTCTGTTTCTACTAGGGTGTGTATTGGTCAGCTTCTCATGGGTGGAACAAAATACCCAACACCTGCAACTTATAGGAGAAGAGTTAAATTTGGTTCACAGTTTCAGTGGTTTCCATCCATGGTCTGCCAGCCCTAAGGCGGGAACACTGGTGGAAAGGTACAGCAAGCTGCAACTGCTCAGCTCATGGAGGCCAGAAATCAGAGCTGGGGAACAGGGTCAGGAGAGATCTACCTATCCCAAGGCATGTCCCCAGTGACTCATCTCCACCTTGGCCCCACCTTCTGATAGCAGGCTCAATTATGAACATTAGTGGATTAATCCACTGAAAAGTATAGCATCCCCATGATCCAATCACTCCTATGGAAGTCTCTTAATCTAGTCAAGTTGACAATTAAGATTAGTTGGCATAGAATGCCCACAAAGAATGCTTTTCCTAGATTCTTTTTCCTCCATAAGAGTGGCATTTAGGGTACAGTTTTCCCTTGTGTGGGCTCCACTCCCTGAATGCCAGAGGTGTTCATTCTAAAGTGACTTGCTAGACACCCTTAGAGCCACCACCCCTACTGAGAATTACTGGGTATTTTGAATTGCATAGCAGCTACATTTTAACAGGTGGATAAAAAGTGAGACCAGTCAGATGTAAGAGAAAAAGGTGGAAATGCTTAGATTCAAATCTAGCTGATGGTTTCTCATAAGTTGCATAACATCTTTAAGACCTTTTTTTAAAGGTATACCTATTTGGAGGGGTTATGGGTTTAAAATTTTTTTTTGAGGATTAAATGAGATAATGTGCATGAAAATACGTAACGGGGAGCTATCATATTAACACCCATTAAAAATTACTTTCTTGTCCTCTTCCCAGTTAAGGTTCCTCTGATCATTTTAAATGACTAGTTTGATTTGTTTTCGGTTTTTGGTTTTCTACTGATCATGAATGAACCAGGACCAATGGGATGAAACCAGTAGCTATAAAATGTAGTTTCTTTCCTTGACTATTCCATATTCACTACCTATTAGGGACAAGCTGTTTTTCAGAAAAAAAGACAGGGCACTGACTGATATGAGCCCAGTAGGCACGCTCTTTCTTCACACTGAACAAACTCACAATCTATGCTGCTCTTTTTTGTGGTGTAAATCTTTGTAAGGAGAAAAATATCCAAGAAAACCACTTTTTCAGTATAATGCTGCCTTCTGGTTTTCATTTGGGAAAATACCGTTGCAAACCATAAAACGCTGCCTAAAGGCCTCCTCTGAGAAGGGAGACATCAGGAAATTGGATTATTTCTGTGAACAGCTTGTTCTAGTTCATCCTTGAAGTATGTGTTGCCAAAGTGACCATGGTAAACATGTGATAGAAACATTTGAGTCCTGATATTCAGAGAGAAGTTCTTGCCTCTGGAAAAGATAATAGTCTTGTATTTTAGTTCACGGTAAGCACTGTGACAAATTACCACAAACTTAGTGGTTTAAATCAACACAAAATTTATTATCATAAGGTAATAAACTAAATTCACCAGGACAAGTCACAAATGGTGTCACTGGGTTAAACTTACGGTGTCAGTAGGGCTGCATGTCTCTGGAGGCTGAAGAGGAGACTCCATCTGCTTACCTTTTGAAGCTTCAAGAGGAAAGTCCACTTTCCTTATCTCGTGGCCCCTTTGCTCCATGCTCCAAAGCCAATGTCTGCCTCAAACCGTCTTATATATTATCACTGTTACTTCTTCTGTCTTTTTCCATGTTTAAAAACTTTTATGACTCCTTTGAGTTCTATCTATACTGTCCAGGGTAATCTTCCAGTTAAGGTGAGCTCACTAGCAAACTTTATTCCATTTGCAAACATTAATTCCCTCTTCCCATACAACCTACTGTATTCACTGGTTCTGCTGACTAGGCTATGGATCTTTTGAGGAGGGCATTATTGTACCCATCCTAGTCTGCCCTCTGGTCCCCAATGATTCACCTCTATCCCACATGCAAAATACATTCGCCTTGTTCCAGCATTTCCAGAATTCTCTACCATGACATGCAAGCAATAGCTGTGTAAATCAAGAGTGGAATTTGTCACCTAAGGCTTGATCTGGGAAGGTCGTTCATACCACCTAACACATAACTGACAAGCATACAAAGAGCCAATCTGTAAGTAGATGTAAATAAAAAGCATGCGTTTTAGAAAAATCCTTAAACCCAAGTGCATGTTCAGGTGTAGTATAAGCTTTTAGACTTTAGTGTTTAGGGACATGGAGTCAATGTGTTAAATAGTAATGCTATGTTTCTAAAGAAACTTTGAATTTGCAAAGCATTTCCACATTCATCTACCTCTACTATCTATATATCTATTTTTGTTCCTGAAAATAAGTTTCTGAAGAAATGGTCAAAAGTTGTTATTTCCCTTTAGCAGTTGGAGAGCTGAGATTCAGGAAATCATATGCATGGTCATGTAGCTTCTAGGTAATAGTGCTGCCATGAACCTTGGACTTCTACCTTCAGATTCATTAGTCTTTCACATCTGTTCTACTTACTTAACTGTTTCTCCTTTACATTCAGTGGGCAAGCAACATAAAATTAAATCAATGTTAGAAAAGGTCAGTATTTTTCATAGGTATCAAGTAGCCTATTAAAAGAAGATAAACAGTGAAGCATTAAAATTAATTCAAATATATCTGAATTTTTATGAAAAATTGTTTATAGTGGTAAAATAAGAAATAACATCAGTTGAGAACTTAGTTAAGAATAAGAGGAATGGCTAAAGGTGTAAGATTCATAAGGTAAAATACAGTGATGAAAAATTACAGTTTTGAATAGAAAAATGCTCACATTGTTGAATTAGGATGTACAGTTATATAAAGTCTCATTTCAACTAAGTTTTAAAAGCAGAGTCATTTAGAAAACAATTAGTAAAAGAAAATAAACATTGTTATTAAATAGTGTTAATTTCTGGGTGATAAATTATTAATTAAAAAAATACTTCACTATTTCCTCACTTTTTTCTTAAGAGTGTTAATATTCCATAAAATGGAAAAAGTTATTAATAGTACTTTACCAGATTTTGAATAGAGACAAGGCTCATTGTCATCATTCCCAAATATTTGTATATTTAAAATTTTTAAATTTTGTAGCATTTTCCTATCTGTTTTCTTAAAGTATTTGCATTTTGCTAACTCAAACAGGTTTACTCGAAACCAACAAAGACTTTTGGAGCAAAATAAGAACCAGAATGGAGCTACCAATGTAAGTGATTAGAAATGTTATAAAATAAACAATTGAATGTTTTACCAATTGCATAGGAAAAGAAAGGTTTACCTAAGAGAGGAGATACATGCATTGTAGAAGAGAAAATACATGCATTGACAATTTGAAGTGGTTTTGATGGTCTTGAGTATTTGTCTTAAGATGTCCTAAGGTCTCTAAATTAACAGGAAGCCATATAGAGGGTAAGATGTAACAAACTGTTACTGCCTGTTGAATGGAGAATTCTTCCTCAAAAATGCATACACATAGGATCCTTTCCTCTCCAAAGGAGTGTCTCTAGGGAGAAAGCTGTGATAAGTTAGATGACACTTTTATTTTTCTAAATTGCATTTTTCTTTGCTTTGTTTTCAGACCTCCAGGGAGCCTTCTGCTCCATCTTCTGATCTCCTTGAGCTAAGTCCTAGCCCCCTGATGCCTACAGCCACTCAGGGAGACTTCAACATCATGAATGCTCAGCTTTCAGACTTAGGTAAATAAGCAATTGGGCCATTTCAGACCAGCAGAAGAGCTTGATGAGAAACAGTTCTCCTTGGTTTCATGATTAAATGGCTCCAGAGAAGGAACGAAGTCAGTTTCAATATCAGAGAACACTATCAGGAGATGTAATTACTTCCTGGCAAATGGTGGGGTCAAAAGCAGTACAGGAACGGAATGGGGTGTGTCTAGGGGAGGAAGTCGTTGAAACTCATCCTTCTGGCTTAGAATCTCAGGGAATTCAGCTGGCCTGCTTTGCAGAGGTTCTCCAGCTTGAAAACCAATACCTAAATCTCTTCTGAACCCACACACTATCTGTTGTTATCTTTGGGTTTTCTGCTATACTACAGAATCAGGTAAGGGAATATTTGATGCAGAGAAATTCAGGAATTATGAGGCATAATCCATGCGATGATGAAATGTAGAGAGAAAAACAGGTTTCAAAGTCAGGAAAGTCCCAGTTGAAGTCTTATTTCTGTCACCTCTTAGCCACCTCACCATTGAGACCTTATAAAATGGGAACAATTGTTGCCTAAATAGGTTGCAATGAAGGTAAATGAAATAATGTTTATAAAATGCATTGTAGGTGTAGGGGTACCTGTCTTATCTAACTTATTTGTTATCATTTACCTTTACTCCCCAAAAGTATTGGTAAATTCTAAAATAAGCATAGTGAAAAATGCTAAAATCTAGTTGTACCAAACTAAAAGCACTTTCTTTTTCTTGTACATTATCTATTATAGTTTCCAGAACTAAAACCACTGAATTTGTGGCTTCTCTAATAACTTTCTTCATTTCTAAAACATTGCCTGTTGCTTGTAAGGCAGTGAGATGTATGGAATGAATTGCCATGGAGATTTTTCTTGTGTTTTCATCAGGAATTTCCAGAGAGGGGATAATTACTACCTTTGGGTATTTCACTTAAGTAATGGGAATTTAAGAACTTTGAGGAGAGGGTAGAGATCTGTGTAAACCATAACTTTTTACTTTTGTGCTGAATTATAGAATCCTTTCTATTCTGGATCCATTTGAGATTTCAGAAAATCCAATTCAATATTATTTGTTTCCTTTACAACAAGCTCTGTTTATGGGAAGGAATATCTTTCTGTCTGTCTGTCTCTCTCCCCGTGCTGTAAATACTACTTTTAAGTCTCTCTTAGGGGAAATATGATTCTATATAT